AAATTTCAGGATATCTTTTTTGCTTTTAGAATTTCCAGTGAGTTCTCAGTATCGACAAGAAGGCATCTATTTTTTTGTCGCAAATGACAAAAGACATTTTATCCGATGGGTCTGTTGGATGGTAGTGTTTTGTTGATTGCATAAGTAATTTAATTTTACGTTCATTTCCAACTCGTTCCATGTCAATACTTTCCCGTGTTGCACTTAAATGAATACATAAGCATTGTATGAAATACACACACATTCATTTATATGTATACATATTTCTTATTGTTATAAACGTTATTTTAGTGGGTATACGTGTTTGCTTTGACATTCCTGTTTGTTTTTGTTAATTTTCTTAAACAGTGGAAATAATATCAATTGGCCGAGATCCAGAAGTCAAACTAAAGATCGTCCTGGGTATAACGATAAACTGTATCCGGCAGCAAGGCGTCTGATTGGAAGATTGGCGGTTTAGAGGAGTGTAGAACCATCTCTTAATGGCTGTTGTTTCCAAGTGTCCCTTGAACCGGGTTGGTAACACATGTTAGGGTCCAAGCTATGAGCATATAGTGAAACCCCCGTCAAACAAAAATCAACAGCACGTTTTTATAATTAAATGAGCAACAGTAGATTTTTATAGTAAAATGACAATCATTGCAACACTAAAAAAAATAAAATTGATTTCAAGAATATAATTAAAAGTAAATAACCACGACTAACAGAACTCTTACTATTTAAAATAAAAAATGTTTTCTATCTAAATACAAGGCTTTGTTTATGTTGTAGCATACGTACGGACGATAATAGATATGTTCCCATTCACATAAATACAGTAGTAGTTACTGTATGTTGGTCTGCAGTTGAGATTCGTCTCCAGCTGTGCCTCCGGGTAGAAAGGATCCCCAGACAAGGCTATATCGAAGAGCAGAGTATCGTCTCGGGAAACAACCACCCGATCCCATTTTATACAGGGTCTACGGGAAATTTTTGGTCGAGATTACGGGCTCGGATACCCCACATTAAATTCGGCCTTGTGCCACATCTGACTGGGTGGGGCGGTTGGTAGATATTCTGCAGCTGGAGATTCATTGTGGAATTCACTTGATTCACTTCTAGCAGTTGATTACTTCTTCTACGCGCCGCTGGCGAATCTTATATGTGTTGTTTGTTCTAAATAATATCGTTCATTACCAACATTAGTTTGATTATTTTGTTCAGTAACCATCCCTATGTTACAACAGTTTAGAAAAAAAATCGGCATTAACTGAGCCAATGGGTTGGTAGGCAGGGAAATAAAAGACTAAGCCAACGAAAGAAAAATGTACCACCCGATATACTGGTATCCCATCAAATGTTTTTGGTATTATTAAAGACGCTGGCCCAGACTACACCTGCTATTCTCTATTTTATAAGAGTCAGATCAAACCAAAATGGAGTATCTCTGACATATCTGAGTTGGAGCTACCTAATTCTCTCTTTCCAGCATCGAAGGAATATAAAAGCATTTACGCGACCATTTAGGTGATGACTTTCCCACTCACTACGTTATCTCTATTTCCATGGAAGCTGTAGTGATCAGCTACATTCTCTCGTTTCACAAGTTCAGACCTTTACAGCTAAGACCCGCCATACCATGCACACAAGGGCGAACCGACATTATTCCCTTCATATTCCATTGTTAAGGAGGAAGCATCATTCCGACAACTTCTTCCCAAGAGACGCTGTTTTATGTAACAGACTACCAAGGGGATGCTTCCTCTATCATTACAATATTAACATCTTCAAGTTTAGATTCAATCGTTGTCTATCCTACATATCTTCATAATCGACAATTCTAATGCCCATAAAACAGATCCATTCAGTAACTCTCTACATTGGGTGGCTCTTGTAGTGTGTGATCAATAGCGTAAAAACAAACAGATAAACAAGGATTACATTCATATCAGAAATATATTCTACCGCATCCTCTCTTTCATCTTTTGCTCTGAGACTGAAGCTTAATGTAAATGTATCGCAATTTTCCATCCTTAACTTCCTCTATCAATCTTTAGCTTATAGTGTCTTTTAATATTCATCCAGTAACACTGTCCCTCGATACCTGCCTTTAATCCTTATCCCTTCTCCTTTTTATAATTATTTTGCTGTCGTCTGCTTCATTTTCATTTTCAAGCTTACGTCTGTCCTAAATTCCTTCTTTCATAAATTTCTCTTCCAGCTCTCTCTTTCTTACCTCATACCTTTCATCCCTCCCTCCCTTCTAATTGCATATCACTCTTTCTCTTTTTCTTACCTCCTACATTCCCCTTCATAATTTCCACTCATTTCTCTTTCTTGCCTCCTACCTTCATCCCTCCCTTCTAGTTTCACATCACTCTTCTCTTTTTCTTACCTCCTACATTCCCCCTTCATACTTTCTTATTTCTTCCCACCCATTTCTTTTTCTTGCCTCCTACCTTGTTCCCATCCTTCTAATTTCACATCACTCTTCTCTTTTTATTACTTCCTACAATTCTTCCCTTTATACCTTCTTATTTCATCCACCCCTTTCCCTCTTTTGTACCTCCTACCTTCCTTTCTTCATACCTTCTTTTCTTCCACCATCTCTCTTTCTTATCTCCTACCTTCCCTCCTATACAACCTCTTATTCGCTTTTGTCGTCCTCTCTTTCTTATAATTGCTCTTTAACAGATTGTAATTCTACCTCCTTTCTCTCCCTTTCTTTCTACCAATATTTTTTTTCTTCACACTTTCTAATTATACTTTCACTCTTTGTAACTTTTTTTACCTCCTCCTTTTCCTCCTTCATAACTTCGTATTCATCCTTTATCTCCCTTTCTTACTCTTAATCCTTCTTGTTCCTTATTGAACTTGTTCCTCTCTTTCCCCAATTCCTACCATCTTAATATTATAATGTATATTTCTCAGTATGAAAACTGTAACTGACGCCATCTTTGACGGGCTGGAATTCATACAGATACTACACATTCATTTTAGTCTTAAAAGCGTAATAATCGCACATATGAACAAGAAGAATATTAATAAAGATAATAAACGAACTTATGACTGAGAATAAAATGAATGAAGCGAAAAGATTCAGCCAATTAAGAAGGAAAAAAGCGTCATCATATAATAAGGAATAATAAACATAGACATCACTGAAATACCAACCGACTAAAACTAAGTAGGAAAAAACACAATGTTCTCTTATCCGTTGAGTCTGTTGATAGCATCATTACTTTAGCTTTGATCGTCTTTTTATTGTCAAAGATCTACATTAATTAAATATCAATTGCGTTAATATTTCTCCATTTTTTTTGGCTTTGTTTCCAGCGACTTGATTTGCTTTGACTCTTTCATTGGTGTGTCTTTCATTCTCTATCAAAAGACCATTTTCAATGGATGTGCTAGATATTTTTTTAATTTTACCATTTTTTGTCGTGATCTCTCTTGTTCACAGAAAGTGTTTATGTGTGTGTGTGTGTGTGTGTGTGTGTGTGTGTGTGTGTGTGTGTCAGTGTGTCAGTTCAGTGTGCGTGTGTGTGTCTGTTTGTGTGTGAAACGCTAGCAAGAAATTCTGAACTCTTTTTATTATTTTTCCTCCAAGCGAAGCAGGAGAAATCTGCAAGTGAATACGATTAGAAAAAAACTTCGTCCGCTCACCGCAAAAAAGAAGAGGCGTAACATGAAATCTGTGATGTCACAGATTTTAGCACATTTTCTCATCTGAATAATATATTTGTGTCGGTTAAAACTGGCACAGAGGAACACTCTTGTCCACCATGACACAGACGGACATTAACACATCAAAGCGATCATAGATTTTGTAAGATATTACAGATTCTCATCAATACATCTATACAGATATAAAAAGTGCAGTAATATATATATATATATATATATATATATATATATATATATATATATGTGTGTGTGTGTGTGTGTGTGTTATCCACAGACAAACTGTTTCGTTGTATCAGTGTGGCTAAACATATATATAATATTGTTTTAAGGTATGCTATATTTATTGGTAAGAAGGAACAATATCAGTGATACAGTAAATACATAAATATAAAAGTGGCCACAATGGCTAACGCCAAGCAGCGTCGGTCTTTAGGCCATGTGTGTTTCATGATTCAAAGCAATCTTCAGGCCATGTGTGTTGTGTTTTGGCTCGACTATTTGTATATGTTGGTTAATGGTATTGAGGTCTGTTGTATTATTTTAACGGTTATTAACTGGGCAGTAACGGTTATCTCTGAAATTATTCTATAAGCTACTGAGGGGGAATAATTGTTGCTCCGAATGCAGTTATTTGTAGCTATTGTATAGTGCTGGACTATCAATATTTAAATCAATTAATTATTTTCTCTAATGTTTTGTAGAAACGACACTGATCTTCAAACAAAACGGTCTAAACAATACATGCTTCGACAACAAACTTTTTTTTATCATTCTTTTCTATATCCTGACAACAATCGGTCCGCGATCGACCACTATTCAAAACAATAATTTTTCCGATAACACACTGTATGTTTATAAATTATTTCTAAGTCCTTGACGTTAAAGAATTTTTTTGTTGTCGACGTTTCAATATGACCGTCTAAAATCTTTGCCCAATTATACATCATTACAAAACGATATTTCAGATTGTTTTTACGTTATCGGCTTTGTGAATCATAACAATTCCATTTGCCATTTCAAATTGACAACTGGCAGAAATAAAGCCACATTTTCAATTCATTTTTTTAACTTTTACAACGTTTTTAATTTTCGAATTCCTATACGGGATTCTCACATGAACCCTTTTAAACTTAATCTTATAGTATCAATGTCACAATAGTGTAACATTCCTTCCTTTCGCATTTCTGTCGTTTACTTATAAATGACACTTCCCTCACCACAAAAAAAAAAAAAAAAAGAATGAAAATAACAAGGGTTCTTCATGTGTCGTTTTCCCACTAAACATGCAGTGAAATTAAAAAGTCTTCCGTCTTCTTTCCCAATTATACGACTTCATGCATCGTTTTTCCACTAAACATGCAGTGTTATTGAAAAAAGTCTTTCTTCTTCCTTCCCGTCCCATGAGCAGGCACATTTACATTGGGGTTCGCATCACCCCTTACAATTTAATCCTTTGACCGGTTTTTATGTTTCCTTTTCTTGGTTGACTTTCCTCTCTTCACAATAGGAGATGTTGATTTCTCTTTGACAGATGTCGATTCTGCTTTCTGTTCTCCTAACGCATTCAAATCGGTCTGGATTCAATCTCCTTGGGTAAAGAGACTAAGTGGCCTCCCATTCTCGACACCTGTGTATTATTCGGGTTCTTCCTAGGCTTTTTCAGCTTCCATATTACTGTCAGCAATAACTATTAAGATACTTAACATAGTGAACGAAGTTATTATGATCCATGAATTATCTCTCTTTATTGCATTCTCTTTTCCCATGGCACTCAATTTGTCTTTCAATTGGTCCAGACTAATTCTCTCTAGCTTCCTTAATAACTTTGGCATTGCCTTTAATAAAGCTTCGAGGAATTTCTCTACCACTGGTTCCCATATCTTTGTTCAATTATTCAACTGATTTCGAGTAAAATCCCCAATGAATCTTATATTTCTCTTTGGCCTGATAAAATGGGGTGGGGAAGAAGATTGATACCCAAATGCCGAACATCTCAGGAGTAACTTTATCAAAGCAAATGGTGATTCTATCCTTATTGTTCCAGCAGGTCTCTTCCCAAATACTCTTGACAGATCCATCTGACTTTGGGTGGCCACTTTGAGGTATTACCTGCCTCTGTTTTTGCTCTGAGGGCAGCTATCTCACTATCCTCCTGACCCTCCTTTATTGCTTCTTTCCAGTGAGGATCATCCACAACTTGCGTTGTCTCTTCTATCTCAGTCTCGGTCCTTTAATCTATTGGAGTTGATTACCCGTATCTCGTAGGTCCTATTAGCCACTGGCTCTACCCTTATGGATTTTGCCTCCAGTTGTTTTTGAGTTATTGACAGAAAATCCGCGCATGTATTATCCCTCCTAGCTAGGTACTCTATTTTACAGTTATATCCGCGCAACTTCAGTGCCCACTACTGGATCTTTTTGTTAGTCCATTCAGCTTCCAGCAAATATTGGAGTGACTTGTCGACAGGCTAGATAGTAAGTACTGGACCATTCAGGTAATAATATAAAATTTGCAAGATATACATAATGGCGTATGTCTCTTTCTCTATCACTGGCCACCTTTGCAGCGTTTCAGCTATAGTTGCACCAAGAACATGACACAAATAATAAAAAGGCACATCAGAAAAATAACCAACAAACCGCCCAGACATACCAAACACATTTGTAACTGCGGAATAAAGATCGGATCCCCTTCAAATGTAACTTACCAAGCCACTGTAAAATCAACAGATAACGAAGAAAAAATATACATAGGAGTAACTGAAGGACCCTGGAAACAAAGAGACTATGCTCACAAAAAATCTTTCACAAATAGTAAATACACGAACAGCACAAAGCTTTATAAATATATATGGAAAAACCAAATTACTCCAAAAATATAATTGAAGATAAGTAGAACAGCATTAGCATTCAACAATAAATATAAAATAATACTGTAATCTTTTTTTCTGGGGGAGAAAGCAGCTATAATCACCTTCCCAGACCCGCACAACTTACCCAATAATTAAATCAGAGCTTATCTCAAAATGCAGAAACGAAAACAAATTTATACAACTTTACTTAAAAATTGAAAACGTAAAACTAATATCTTGTAAAAAAAATTAGCATACTTTAGACAAAGCCAACACCTTAAACTAAACAAATAAGATCATCAAACCCCGAGAAAAATATACATGACGACTTCATCGGATTGTATGTGTGTATGTATGTATAATGTGATCTATATAAAGAAGATAAACCACAGAAATGCCAAAAAATATATATATATATATATATATATATATATATATATATTGTGTTTGTGTGTGTATTTTTGTGTATGCGTCTAACAGTCAGCTTAATATCTTGCTTGCTCAACAAACACATCCATATCTATTTTCGCATCTCTCTCTCGCCATATATATATATATATATATATATATATATATATATATATATAGAGAGAGAGAGAGAGAGAGACTTTTAATGCAAGAGAAGAAGTATTAATAACTAGAGGGCCGAAATTTTTCTCAATATTATTTTAATAAAAGGGTGGAGTCGGTCATAGGATCGGAAACTTTCTAAAAAAATAAATCCTTTCTATTAGGCAGGTAAGAGAATCTATCTATCTATCTATCTATCTATCTTGATGCGTGTGTCTATCTGCGTGTACATTTGTTACTTTTTCCAGCGGATGGTACTCATAAATAGGCTACCTATAGTTTTGAACACGTTGTTCCGTCTTTTCTGATAAACCAGGAGCCTTTGTCCGCTACTTTTTCCCTAGAGATCGATTCTATTGTCTATCCCAAGCACTGGACACAGTGTTCAAGCCCTGGATCTGTCCCATCCCCCATAACATACGAGACCCAGAAGTGGCTAGACGTAAATCATGTCAACTCTTCAAGCTCTCCTGATTTGAATCTCCTCGGATACTATGCTCGGGGTGTCGTCGAGACGAGGTCGGGTAAAGCAAGCAGGAGACCCCAAATACCAATTGTGGTCGAAGGCCGCCATCTTGACAGCCAACATGAAGGTGAACGACCTGATTGTTTCCGAAGCCGTTCTCGAAGCTGATGGAGTTTTTATGGAAGACCATTTTGTCTTTTTCTTACTTTGAACTCTCTACTATTTGTTCTTTTGAAAATATACTGAGTTTTTCCTATTGAATATCTTTGGTTTTCTTTATAACTTGTTCTCAATTGTCTGCTGCACTCTCCATATAATTTCTTTTTGCTTTAGTTCTGTCTTTGAAGGACACAGAAAAGATATTCACTGCAGCATTGCAGTCATCATTTAAATGTGCGTGTCTGTGTGCGCGCGAATGCATATCAGCTTTTGATGTTCCAGGAAGCATACACACAGTGAGCGGCGGTTCCATCTCTTTTGAAATTATTCGTACGGATTCAGACCTGGGCGAGAAAATAACCCACAGGCGCTTTCCTTCGTGATTCAGTGGCAGATCAGAAAACAAATGAATAAGTGGTCGACAGTTAATATTTTATACCATTTCATTCGGGCATATCTTGGACTCGTGAATACAAAATAGAATATCTGTAACTGGCCGCAACATTTCGATATGAATAAAGACATAACGTAATAGGATTTGTGTGTTACAGAGCAGCGGGCACTAGATTATATGGAATAATGAACAATCTATCTATCTATCTATCTATCTATCTATCTATCTATCTATCTATCTATCTATCTATCTATGTGTGTGGTGTGTGTGTGTATTATTTATTTATTTTTACATGAATAAGTGAATTTAATTAATATTTGATTAAATTGATTTTTCAATTAATTTAGTCAGTAATAAAATAAACAAACATTTTAGAAAATCATCCAAACTTGATTGAAATTAAACAGTATCATATAACAGTTATTTCAATAATTATTAGAGCACTTGGAGCTGTGTCAAAAGTCCATTCAAGGAGAATGTACAAAAGAGAAATATCGAAAGAAATAAGATATAGTTGTTGTATACTCTTCTCTGTTGGAAGGGGGTGTTGGTTGACGGAGGCGATCATAATAAATTTGTCTTCCCCTTTTTGTTCTCTCACTTTTCTTTCTTCTCTCGGCCGGGTGATCGATAGTTGGTTTGTTCGAAGATGAAATGAGAACTTCAACAAAAGGAATTTTTAACTTATCTATTTCATTAAACGCGTCGACATATATATATTTAACCAGCCAGTGGGGTCTCTCTATTACCCACACTAGGGAGCAAGTTTCTCGAGACACGAAATAACCACGTCTAATGTGTATGCCCTGTAAAAACCTAACTCACTGAAAGCACGTCCTATCTCTCTAACGTTCCCACGCTCGGCTCAGCCAATCAAAATGACATTTCTATTTTGTCTGCCATCTGACCTTAAAGGTCAGTATCAGACGGCCCGAGCCTAAACACACTGCCACTGAAAAATAATAGTCTGAAACTATTTAACATTCCTTACCTAATTATAAAAAAAAAATCATTTATGAATTTTATTTCAACTATTACTTTTTCTAGAATCTATCAGATGATCCCATAAGTTCTGTCCGAATTTTGAATAAAGAAAACAAGTGACCAAATGTTACATTTAATTACAGATTCAATCAACAATGTATTTTCCCTGATTATCTATGACTTCCTTCCATCTATTAACAAGCTTACTAATTCCATTACTGTAAAATTCTTTTGGCTTTGATTCGAAGAACTCACAAATGTCAGTTTTAACCTCTTCCTGTGTTACAAAAGCTGTTTCTTCCAAATGATTCTGTAAGCTACGAAACAAATGGTAGTCTGAAGGAGCAAGATCGAGAGAATAAGGTGGATGAGGAATTTTTTCCCAACCAATCTTTTGTGACGTGATTCTTGTTGTCGCGCATTGTCCTGATGAAACACCTCTTTTTGATTCACTAGAGCAGGTCTTTTCTTCCTCAAATTTTGTTTCAAACACTCTAATTGCTGACAGTATATTTGAGCATTAATTGTTGCATTAGGTGGTAAGAATTCAAAGTGGATTATTCCTTGGCGATCCCACCAGATTGAAAGAAGAACCTTTTGCCCATGAAGTTCCCTTCTCGGCTGTGGCTGGGGTTCTTCCCCTTTACCAAGCCACTGTCTACAACGCTTAACATTTCGATAAAAGATCCATTTTTCGTCGCCAGTCACAAGTCTATCCAAAAAAGGTGAAAAAAAAGTTGGCGAGAATGGAGAGAAGAGCAGGTGTCAGCTCAGGATTTGAGGTTGTTTTCAGACAATTCATGAGGCATCCATTTTCCAAGTTTGAATTTATGGTTTGAACTGAGAACCACTGCCAATTCCTCAACTGATAAAGCAGGATTTTCTTCAAGGGCTGCTTCAAGAAGCTTTTCATCAAACTCAACTGGACGTCCGGTTCGATCTTCATCTTCAAGGGTGAAATCTCCACCTTTGAATTTTGTAAACCATTTTCTGCAAGTTCTTTCATTCACACATTCCTCTACATAAACTGAGTGAATGTTTCTAGCCGCTTCGGCTGCTGAGTTTCCTTTCTTGAACTCATAAAGCATTATGTGCCTCAAATGATTCTTGGGTACTTCCATGTTAGCAGGGTTTTAATCAAACAAAATTTAATTTTATTGTTCTCTGAAATAAAATTTGATCAGTTTAAATGCATCTAAACATAAAAATAATGTTCAGCTCCATTAGACATTATAAAAATACTCTTTAAATTTCGTTCATTTTAACAAAAAGTTAAAATTCGGACAGAACTTATGGGATGACCTGATATATTTCCGTCTCAACATTTGTCAGGAGCATAGCTTTGTACTATACAAAATTCTTAATCATACATATTAACCATAAAACCTTGTAAGAAAATCATACATCTTCATATACAGATAAGCTTAGCACGATACATAGAAAACTCATACACTTAGATAATGGTCATCACCCGATTCATCATCAACCAGTTTGAGTTCGATGTTGGAGAAAGACATCCTCTGTGATGAACGTGCTTGTGAATTCTGAGTTGTAAGTCTACCTATATTATTTCTCCGTCTTGTACGTGATCTTTTCCCAATGAATTTCCTTGGCACTATGCAACCGACCTTATGCTTCATCCGTTATCCTTAATATGATATTTAGTTATACTGGGAACTTGACCAAGGCGATAACTTTTCAGCATCCAAATCGTATGACATATTTTTGTTCTCTGGTTCAAGTTGATATTTTTTATGTTATTAATTTTATTTCATGTAGACCTTTCAATTCTCTTACCATCTCGTATGAGGCAGAAGGAAGACTAAATCTGGCAAGATGTTTGTATTACTCCTTTTTTATGCAGAACACACACACACACACACACACACACACACTGCGCAGTGCTCGGATGAAACAACGCCTTAACATCTTGGAAGAGGTTGTTATCAACACGTCTCGTCTGACTCTGTTTAGGCAGAGGTAGCTGAAACATAAACTTGCAACCTTGGGCGAATTTTTGTCTTATTCTGGTGGACTTAAAATTTTTTTTCTTTTCCCCTCCCCTTGTCTCTTTTAAATCTATTGCAAACGGTTAGGGTTAGGGTTAGGGTTACGTACGTTGAAGTTTACGTATATCAGACGCAGAGTGGAACGTGTCTGGTTTGGTTTGGTTTGGTTTGTTTTATGGCATATCAACCTCAATGGGTTATTTAAGGCCGACAAAATTTTTGTTGATGGTAATATTTTTTTCCTTCATAAATCTATTTTTGGTAATGATATGTCCCGGAAAGGGATATATTTGAACGAAGTAGCTAAATGGTTTTGGCTACTATAACCAAGTAGAATACGGTAGCAGTAATCGACTGGTACGCGTCGTAGTCGCAGGTAAGAAGTGTAGATCAATGGTGTAGTCCAATGGGCGTCGTTATAGACTAAGGCTCTTGACTCTCCTACACGTCCGTCGGTATTTATGACGGACACCAGCCAATCATATTCCAGTCAAGGGGAACACAGGTGTACGCATATTCCATTATATCAGGTAATATTTTTTTCTTCAAAAATGTATTGCTTCCTTTCAGTAGATTTTCTTTTTTTTTTACTTTTAATCGAGACGATACTTATGCATCTAATATTTTAATTAATAAAAATATTCCCTGTTTTAAGAATACTATTTAATTAGTGTGACACTAGACACATTTTTCATATATCTTCGGGTCGATTTAGCCACAATATAATTAATACCCTCAATAATACTATCCAACTTGAGGGGTAAATTACAGACAGTCCCTTGATTCCAGACTTAAATTCCTAAAATCCTGTTCTCAGAATCACGTTATCCCTGGGTATATTTCTAGGCGTATCTTTAGGATAAGTACCGTAATTCGGTTAACGTTGAAAGCGCATCTCTTAGAGGCGAAATCTTGTATTACTTCGACTTATTCAATTCCGTAAGAATCCAGTTTCAATCATTTCGGGCCATTGTCTCTGCTATATTATCATTTCCTCTCCTGGGTATGACCATAAACTACACCCGCATCCTGGGTAAGACGATATACTACATCCGACAGCAAGTAGGTTTTGAGAGAGCGTGGAACCACCTTTTAATTGTGTTCCCAGGCCTACCCTTGCCTGGGGTGGTAGCATCTGTTAGGGTCTCAGATATACGCAACAAGTTAATCCCCGAATTTTGGGTCAAAGCACTATGAAATGGTAAAAATAGGTTTTAATACCAGCAATATATTTTGTAAAAATATTAGCAGTACAACCAGCAATAAAAATCTTGTCGGCATTAAATAATACATTGGTTAATGGTAAAATAGGAGAAAAAATAATAAAAAACCAGCAATATAAAAATATTAGCAGCAATACATTTTTGAAGAAAAAATATAACCAGTAATAAAAATAAAAATTGTCATGGATAGATTAAATAATACAAAACAAAAATGTTGATATGCATTGAGGTTGTACGTAAAACAAAACAAACCAAACCAAACATTATCTTGATAAATTCTGTTTTTCGAGATATCTGTCCAAAGGTAATACTTTCTTTAGTAACGGAATTAATGCTAAGAATTTACCGTATATTAATTTTCTAATCAAAAGAAAGTTTTGTCTTTCTGTTACAACAGATAAATATATTATTAATTTATCTGATTACAGTTTGTCCGATACCGTTAAGTTTGTCCTGTCCCGCGGCTTGTACTTTTGTATTCCTCCCCTAAGAAGATCGATAGAATCGAAGTCTTTAGCGATTTTTAATTATTGTTTCCCCAATTAGTAAACATGTGCCGGCTTCCGCTGAGAATGTAAAAGCCCATTTGAATGATCTTGCATATGACTTCGTAAATTTGTCTCTCGATTCTAGAACCTTTCTTTTGGAAGCAGAATCACTATAAGACGGCCAGATTGTTAATATCTAGGACCGATATTTATATAACCAGACCTGATAAAGGAACTTGTGTTGTGATTCTGAATTATTCTAATTATATAAATAAGATGTCGTCTATATTGGACGACACTAGTAAATTTTGCTAATTAGGTGATACATCATTTGAAGACACAGAGAAAACGGAAGTTACATTTAAGAAGAGATTGCTTGAATTTCATGAAAGCATTTTCCTTTAAAAGCTCCTCTTTCATATGATAGAATTCAATCTGTTGGATCCGAGCGTCCTATGATTTATGGTTTGCCGAAATTTCATAAAATGAATGTTCCATTTGGCCTATTTTGTGTATGGTGGGTTCTGCCCATCATGAATTGGCCAAGTGCTT